TGAGTGTTATCTTGGTTGAGGTAGGAAGAGAACCTAAAATCTAAAATTTTTGAGCATCTTCCTTGTGCCAAGTACTGACCCAGGCTCTTTACAAGTACTGTCTTATTTAGTAGGCATCAAAGCCCTATGAGGTAGTAATATCCCCATTTCACAGATGAAGCAACTGAGGCTCAGGTGTTGCATAGCTTGTGCAGTATCACATAGTTTGTCATTTGAACCCAGGATTCTAGAGTCTGTCCTTATTATTTTACATCCCTCTGCCTCTTGGGTTGTAGGTGGTTAACCCAGGATCTTGAGTTTGTGGGCACTGAACTGGCAGGGAATACAGGGTGTATGTGGATGTGGGCAGTAAAAAGGAAAAACCGTGTTTCTGGTGCTTTTTTTTTTAATTTTTTTTTAAGATATTTATTGGGAAATTGGGGGAAGGGGAACAGACAAGTTGCTGTCGTTTTGTTCTTCAGTCTAGTTGTTGAGGATGTTGCTTCACTGGCCCAAGTGGGCACCATCATTGTGCTCTTCCCGGGTGAGGCAGATCAGTCGCCGGCTTCTGGACCGCCACTCACCGCGGCTGCTGGCTACATACGTTAGCCCATGGCAACCCAGTGCAGCAGGGGTTGCAGCCCAGCTCCAGGTTGAGCTGTTGTTCAGCATCTTAGCTGTGGAGGACAGTGTCACTGGCCCTTATATGTGGGATCCGAACCGAGGCCCTCTGGTGTCCCAAGCCAGTTCTTAACCATTGCGCCACTCGGCCGGCCCTCTGGTGCTTTTTTAAAACTACATGCAATTAGTCAATAAGTTATAAAAAATATTCTCTCTATATGCATTTAATCCTCCCACAAAATATAAAAATTGCATGAAAAATACATACAATAAAGGGGAAAATGCTAGATGTGAAGGAAAACATGTTTCAGTCTTTAAAATAGTGTATAATGGTAGTGTCATCAATGTGGTTATAGTTTGGGAAGTTTAAACTCTCTAGTTTATGTATCAAACTAAAAGCCCTTAAAGGTGGTTTGAAAAAAAAGATGAGCACATTTCCTTCTCTAGCTCCATATTCCACGAAACCGACTTGTCAGATGTAGATCTTCTGCAAATATTCGGGTCACAGAGCAAGGAGCCATGACTCCTGTGTGCTAAGCCTGCAGCTGGGAAGCATGCTTTGGCAAGAATATGAGTGATTTATACATCTTGTAAAGAGAAAAGTATTGTCTTATTCCATGCAGATAGTTTGTTAGCATAACTGTTTGTGTGCATTTTAGTATTCAAATACAGATGTTCCAAAACGTTTCCACTGTGGGAAGCAGCTGCTGCTATTCTAGCACAAGAATCTCAAAGAGATTAATATACAAAGGCAGCATGAACCTTAGTGGCGATTGCATCTGCTTGAGGTGGGGCCTGTGAATCCCTGTAGATGGTGGGTCTTCAGATTTCTCGTTAACAGCCTGAAACCATGTTTCATATCTAAGCTTATTCTGCAGGAACAGGAACAGAGACAAGTGATTAATTTGTAATTCACTTAGCTGATAAATATCATCACATGTTATTTACCCAGGGGGCTGTAAAACACTGGACTTCATTTCCTATGGCAACTGGTAGGAATATAGATGCTGGGTCATAATGACTGATGTTTTCAGTTGCCATTACTAGCTTCTGCGTGGTAAGAGGGCTCGGCCCAGCCACCTTGCAGTCATAAAACATCCATCCACACTTTAGTGATGCATTCTCAGGGAACTTTGCAGTTTACTCAGGACACTCATGGGCACTGCTTCATCTGATCCCATCCCAGCTCTGAGAAGTAGGTACTCCATCATTATCAGCACAATTTACATATAAAGTAAACAGGGGTAAAGACGTGAAGTGACTTAACAGGGTTATGTAGCCAGGGCCTCTGACTCTAAATCTGATTCCAGTCTTACACAACATAAAGCTGCCTCTCTAATTTCAGAGGCTGTGAGGTGTGCTTCATAAATTACATCATCCTTGCTAGAGATGCTGGTTTCCAGGACACCTGCCATGAAGCATCCTAGCCTAACAGCACTGCCTGGCAACAGGAGGGTGCCAGGGGAGAACGAATGCAGTAGTCCTTCCCTCTTTCCCCCACACCCCAGAGGGGAAAAGCCCCAATACTCCCTTTCCTTATGTTCAGATAGCTTCAGCAAATGAGCTCCTGTGTCTCCCTGGTATTTGGAGAAATGACGACCCAAAAGCAGAGGATCCCGGGGCTGTAATTTGGAGTTGCCGTGAAGCAGAAGTTGCTAAGAACAGTGCCGCCTGGGGTGTTGTGCCTGCCCCAGGCATTATAAATCCATCCCCTGCGATGTTCAAAAGCTCATTGCCTCCAACCAGAGCTACCGTTTGGAATTATTGAGTGAATTATTTATGGTTTACACATTTGACAGAGGTTCATGGCTAAGTTTGAAAACGTTCAGGCCCTGGCTTATGGCTGGGGCCTAGAAATATGTGTCTGGAAAACCAAGGCTTGGAGAAGTTCAGTTTCTAAAGGTGTCCAGATCTAGTAAAGGCAGTGCACTTTTGAACCAAGTATATCTGATTCTAAGTTATACTGGCTCCGTAGTCAGAGCCACGTGTTTTACTTTGAGGGCAACAAAAATTTATGGGTTGGAGAGTTTGTGGACTGTGCCCTGCTCTGTAGCCAGGCTTTGGTGGATAAGAACCCCAGAGAGTGAGGTGGGAGGGCCAACTAGAGAAGTAGAGGCAAGAGGCTGAGTCCCTGGGCTTGCAGCAAGGGAGGAAGAGGTAGATTCTTGGGCGGGGTGTGGAGTTGGGAGCAGTGGAAGGCCCATGCACAGTGCACTGACATGAAGTCCTAACCTCTGGCTCTAAAGAGGCTCCCAAAGTGGGAACCTGAGGCCAGTACAAACCCAAATGGCATGCTTTTTGGTGATGTCATAGCTGCTTCTGCCAGAATCACACTGCTACAGCATTGTGACTTTCATGGAATTGTGTCTGCTCTGTACCACTCAGAGAAAAAAAAAAAAAAAAGGAAATTTGTAAGTATTTAGTTCCTCTCTGTTTTCCTAAATCTTTTGTTGGAACATCTGTGAGATGATAAAAGCAACTTAAAACGATATGAAGCCCTTTGCAAATCCACCGTTTGCAAGCTTCATGCAGATGGTCAGTGTCTCAGTTATTTTGATCAAGAACAATTTCACAGGCAAGAAATAGGGTAGCGAATCACTCCTAGCTATAAAATATTAATAAAAGTGTCCTGAAGTACACAGACACAGAACACACCTCATAAAGAAGCACTCTTACCCAAGGTGGGACAGCATCCCTTGTTGTTATTCCCTAGCCTGGAGGCCCTTGCGAAGATCACTTGCCTGCTTGTGACAAAGCACACCCTTTGTTCTGCCTTCATCATATGTGCATGTTAAGAAGAGGGAGCAACATGAAGAAAGGGGGCTACGTGGCTCTAGCTGTAGGCACATTATGAGGAAGGAAAGGATAGGCAAGCCTTCGACTTGTAGAATGAAAAGAAGGGCAGAAAAAGCCCAGTATAACTTCCCTTTTATGTCTCTGCAAAGGAGGGAGAAACCAAAGACAAGAATCTAAGACTACATGCACTTGGTAGGATGGTAGAACCTATATACCATGTCCTTTTTTATTTTTGTTGTTCTCATTTGGTTCACTATACCGACATAGAGTCATTTTCATTAAAACTTATAACACAAAAAGGGCTTGTGTACTTTTCTTTAGACAAGAAATGCATGAGTGACAAGCAGAATGAGGGGACTAGGAAGAGAAGATCTTTTTGCTCAGAGGCCGGGGTCAGAAGAGCCTCTAGGCAAGAAAAGCAAAGCTGGAAGAGCCAATGTGGGCCTGGAAAGGGGGTGATGAGGCCCAGTAGGGACCACCCCATTCAGAGGTATCGGTTGTAACCCACCCGTTCATTGTTTACCCCTCTAGGGTTCCTCCAAACCTAAGCCCTCCACGGTAACCAGCACTGTTGAAGTCACATTGAGAGAACAAAGATAAGATCAGGATCCTCCAGGGCCCGCCGAGTGGCTCAGTTGGTTAAGAGCTTGCTCAAGAGTGAGAGCTCTGAGCAACAGGGTTGCCGGTTCGATTCCCACATGGGCCAGGGAGCTGCGCCCGAGCTGAGTTGCTGCTGAGCTACCAACACGTGGCAGGATGGCTCAGCTAGTGAGAGCACGTGCTCCTAACAAGGTTGCCTGTTTGAGATGGTGGGCTCAGTGGATAGAGCACGCGCTCTTAACAACAAAGCTGCCGGGTTCGACTCCCACATGAGATGGTGGCTATGCCCACCCGCAACCAATTGAACACAGCACCTTGAGCTGAGTGGCACGACTGGACTTGGAGCTGAGCTAGCTGCTCCCTCCACAACTAAGACTGAAAGACAACAACTTGGCTGTTCCCCTCCCCCAATTCCCCAACACTGTTCCTCCTCCCCCAACTCCCCAATAATACCTTAAAAAAAAAAAGAACAGGATCCTCCAGCGGGTCCTTAGTCACTAAGTTAGCAGTCATCATTTTAAACAGCTCTCTTATCGTGAATATATCAATTTGCTTCGGGAGAAGACAAGGCTAAAGAAATGGGTGCTCAGGAGTGCAGAGCCAAGCAGCTGTATCCTCTGAGTGTCCTATGCAGCATTGTGTGTAGTGATTAATTTTGGTTTTCTTCAACATTTTCTTATACTGCAGAGGTTAATAGCTATCAACAGAGCCATAATATCATAATAGTAAAAATGTCAATGTCTTTAAGATGTTATGTGGAATACAACCTGTTTCTGTGAGATTAGGTATTGAAAGTTACTAATTAAATTACCATTGTCTTTTATTAGGAACTTGCTGCTTGTATGTGCTCTCTTTCAGCTCTGCATACGTCTGTGAACCACTGATAGACATTAGGGATTGGATTGGATGGTTCCAGGCAATCTCTGTAACGTTCTATCTGCTACAACAAACCCAAACCATTTTCTGATGTGCTTTCATTGCTCTGCCTTCTTCTTTTCCTCCAGGCAGCTTCATCTGCCCTGAGCAGTCTGGGCCATGTGTACACAGCCATTGGAGACTACCCCAACGCCCTGGCCAGTCACAAACAGTGTGTTCTTCTTGCCAAGCAATCCAAAGACGAGCTTTCTGAAGCCCGAGAACTCGGCAACATGGGAGCCGTGTACATTGCCATGGGGGACTTTGAGAATGCTGTGCAGTGTCATGAGCAGCACCTGAAAATAGCCAAGGACCTGGGTAACAAGCGCGAGGAGGCTCGGGCCTACAGCAACTTGGGCAGTGCCTATCATTACAGGAGGAACTTCGATAAGGCCATGTCTTACCACAACTACGTGCTGGAGCTGGCACAGGAGCTGATGGAGAAGGCCATTGAGATGCGGGCCTACGCCGGCCTGGGCCATGCTGCCAGGTGCATGCAGGATTTGGAGAGGGCCAAACAGTACCATGAACAGCAGCTGGGCATTGCCGAGGACCTCAAGGACCGGGCTGCAGAGGGGCGAGCATCCTCCAATCTGGGTAAGGACAGAAATGCCTGCAAGACCCGGGCTCAATGCCATGGGCTGGAAATAGCTGGAGTAGCCCACTATCTTTTACAGAAATCTGTGTGTTGATATTCAAAAGACTCTCCCCATTGTGTGTGTTGTATATTTCCTTCAGATAGATTTCCTTGGAGCCTGCCTGCTCTAAATCACATGATTCTTCCTGTCATCACAGTGCTCTAAGGATTAGAACTCTGAATTACTGGAAAAACAAAACACCCCAACCTTTTAATCTGCCTGGAGAGAAGAGAGACCAGATTTATCTAATTAGAGAGAAGGGGAATGAAATAAGGATATAAAGCTATGTTTGGTTTAAATGAAAGAGAAGCCGCTAGGAAGCCATCAATGAAAGAGAATTTGAGAGAATTTTTTGTTTAAAGGGATTTCTTTACTTGGTGACTTGAACCCCACAGGAAATGTATTTTTCCTTAAAAGTATGTGTATTCACAAATGATATTGATAGTTTTAGTATAAATGCAAAATTATTTTTAGAAAGATCTATTTAAGTAAGATGGAGTTGCAGTCACTGTTTTGATAGTACTTGGTTACAGTTGAGACATTTATACATTTGGGGGCATTTATATGTAATGGTAAGAGATGATAGGTGTTGTTCACTGGTTACTTTTTAGAAGATGTTGTTATCTTGTCTCTGTACCCAAACAGATGTAGGTTCATACTGAGTGGAAGTATGAGCTGAACTCGTCCCTGTGCCTGGACCCCCTTGGTTTGTTCTGTATCCACAGGGACCCAGGGTGGGGAGAGGACAAGGAAAAGGTGACCTGATTGGTATTAGCATATGCTTATCAGATATTAGAAGCAGCAGAATATAAAAATCAGCCCCTTTTCTTATGTTACCTTTGAAACCAAGGCACCTCATCTCTATATAATTTTAGCACTACTCCCCCGCCCCCACCACCACCACCACACACACACACCTCTGCTTATTGTAACCATATATTTCGTGAATGTGGTTGTTAGAAAATGTCTGGAAGGTACCTGGAGATGACTCTGAAGGTGGTACTGAGATCAGGAGAGTCTGTAAGGACCACAGAAATAAGCTCTTGGCATTATGTAATCATTCAACAGATTACAAGTATTTATTGAGTCATTATTATGTGCTAAATCCTAGATAGTTGCATTAAGGGATAGAGAAGTTAAAAACAAAAAACAAAAAACAAAAAACTGCCCTCAAAGAGCTTATAATTTAGTTGGGAAAAGAAGACTAATACATAGGACAACAGTAGCCTCCCTGAAAGACAGTGTTAATAATGTCATATGCTGTGAAATTCCTAGAAGGGAGACCCTAAGGGCTGGGAATAGCCTGGAAAGCTTCTTGGAGGAGGTTAGACCCAGGTGGACCTTGAAGAGCAAGTGAGGTTTGGCTAGAAATGAAATGGCATTGATGGTAAGGGACATGTGAAGGAAGGAGTGAGATGCAACAGGTTGGCATATCTGAGGGATGAAAACAGGATTAGCCTTCAGGGATGTGCTGGAGGGTGGTAGATGAGTGAAAACTAGGCAAGGGATGTGCTCTTATGGGTTTTGAAATGTAGCAGCAAGAAGACAGACTAGATATTTAAGGAAGACAAGTCAAGCAGTGGCACGGAGGGTCGATTGCAGGTCTTGGAACCTGGAATTTAGATGGCTGTGCATATTGGACTATTTAGATTATCATCTTGTATCAGCTTTCATATATCTAATGAAAGTCTTTGTTCATTTCATTAAGTTGTTGAATTTATTGGCGTAAGTTGTTGATAATATCTCTGTATTTTCCTTTTAATGCTGCTAGGCTATATAGTGATACACTCTCTTTCATTTCTGTTGTTGGTAGTTTGTGTTTTGCATCCGTGCTTCACCCTCTTTTTCTGGACCATTCTAGCTAGAGATTTCTCAATTCTCTTGATCATCTTTGTTAATTTTTAATTGCTTGTCTGTTGTTTATTTCATTTATTTCCAGTCTTTTATCATTTTCTTTTTTAGCATTTTATTTCATTTTTAGTAGTTTCAGGTGTACAAAACAAGATAATGATTAGACATTTACACCCCTCACAAAGTGATAACTCCAACAAGTGTGCTACCCATCTGATACTGTACATAGCTATTACAATACCAATGACTATATTCCCTGTGCTTTATATCCCATGACACACACACATACACACACACGGTGCCAAAAAAAATGTATATGCGTTTTAAGAAAGGAAAACTGTATTAAAATTGTAATAATATATACTGATAACAAAAGATGAATACAAGTCACGTTTGACCTCTGCAATTACATGAGGCGCTCAAAGTGGTTACCATCAGCGTCCAGGCACTTCTGATTACGGTGAACTACTGCTTGAGCAACGTTAACCAAAGTGTCCACACACACATATAATATATGCACACACACACATACATATATAACTTATAGTTGACATTCAATATTACTTTATATTAGTTTCAGGTATACAGAACAGTGGTTAGGCACTTATATAATTTATGAAGTGATCCCCCTGATAAGTCTAAGTACCCATCTGACATCATACATAGTTTTTACAACATTATTGACTATATTCCCCATACTGTAGTCACATCCCCATGACTATTTTGTGACTACCCATTTATACTGCCTAATTAATTTCCTCTTGCTACTTACTGTGGGTCCTCTTTCTGGTTTCTCAAGGTTGAACCTTAGATCATTGATTCTAGACTTTTCTTCTTTCTAATATACGAGTAAGCATTTAAAATAGATATATAATTTCCTCTAAAAACTGCTTCAGCAGCATCCACTAATTTTTTATATATTATGTTTTTACCTTCATTGGTTTAAAATACTTTCTAAAATCATTTGTGATTTCCCTGTAACCCCTGTGTTATTGACAAATGTTGTTTAATTTAAAAATATTTGGGATTTCCTAGATACCTTATTGTTATCAAATTCAATTATAGTTTAATTTCATTGTGGTCAGAAAACACACTTTGTAGCATTTCACTGGGTATAATGCTCTATAGATGTCAATTAGGTCAAAGTTATCTTTGTCTTTTTTTATTTTTTGTCTGTTTTGTCAGATACTAAGAAGGAGGTTGTTAAAATCTCTAGCTATTATTGTGGACTTGTCTGTTTTTCTATTTAATTCTGTGGACTATGACTTCTGTACTTTGAAGCTCTCTCATTAGGTGAATATTCACTTAGGATTGTTTTGTCTTCTTGGCAGATTGGTTCTTTTATCACTATGAAATATGCCCCCCCTTTTTTTTATCATTGGTCATACCTTTATGTCTTGAAGTCTATTTTATTTGATACAAATATACACACTCCTACCATTTTATGCTTACTCTTTGTGTGGTTCATCTTTTTCTGCCTATTTACTTTCTATTTCTGTGTCTCAGTATTTAAAGTTTGTTAACTACAGATAATGTCTATTTAGGTCTTACTTGTGTATTGATTTTGACAATTATGGCCTTGTAATTGAAGAATTTCATCTACTTAGCATTTGATGTAATTACTGATATCATTGGATTTAGGTCTCTCATTTTCCTATTGGTTTTCTGTTTATCCCAGTTATATTTGGTTCTCTGTTGTTTCCTGCCTTCTGTGGATTAGTTCAGTCATATAGATTTTGTTTTAATTTGCCTATTTGCTTTTTAGCTCTACCTCTTTGTAATATTTTTTGGTGGTTGCTCTAAGGATTATGTTATGTATCTTTAACTTTTCATAGTCTACTTTAAGCTAATATCCTACCGCTCTGTGAAAGTTAAGTACCTTACAACCTTATAGTTCCATTTACTCTCCACTCCCTATGCTTTATGCTTTAGTTGTCACATATTACTACACTGATACTCCTTTTAAACTCCTTAATAAAACTTTTTGTTTTAGACATTTTAAAGAATTAAGAGGAAAAATAACGTTTTCTCTTTATACACTTATTTATCATTAATTACCACATAATATTAATGTGTTCTTTCCTAAGCATCTGAACTTCTATCTGGTATCACTTCCCTTCAGGCTAAAGATCTTCATGTAGTATTTCTTGTGATGCAGGTCTGCTAGTGATGAATTTTCTTCATTTCTGTTTATTTTAGAATGCCTTTATTTCAACCTTCATTCATAAAGGCTATTATTTGCTGGATATAAAATTCTAGGTTGATAGATAGGTTTTTTTTCTTTTTTTCTTTCAGCAGGTTAAAGTGGTCTTTTCAATGTTTTCGGCCCCCGTTATTTCTGATAAAAAGTCAGTGGAGGGCCAGCCAAGTGGCTCAGTTGGTTAAGAGCGTGAGCTCTGTGCAACAGCATCACCGGTTCGATTCCATATGGGCCAGTGAGCTGTGCCCGAGCTGAGCTGTTGCTGAGCTGCCAACAGGTACCAGGATGGCTCAGCTGGTGAGAACATGTGCTCCTACCAACAAGGTTGCCGGTTCAACTCCTGCATGGGAACTAAGATTGAACACGGCACCTTGAGCTGAGTGGCCGCGAGCTGCCGACGGGCGGCCAGATGGCGACTGGACTTGGAGCTGAACTAGCTGTGCCCTCCACAACTAAGATTGAAGGACAGTAACTTGGCTGTTCCCCTTCCCCAATTCCCCAACACTGTTCCCCTTCCCCGGTTCACCAATAAAATCTTTAAAAAAAAAAAAGTCAGTGGAATTAATAATCTATATCACATGTGCTAAGTTTTTCCTTGACTGCTTTCAAGATTTCCTCTAACTTTGGTTTTCAGCAGTTTAACTATGTTATGCCTAAATGTGGCTTTTGGGGGGTATTTTTTCTTCCCCTGGTTCTTTGAGCTTTTGAATATGCAAATATACGAAGTCTGACAATTATGATAGTGAACTTGTTGCAATGATGTTGCTAACATTTTTTGATATCAGAGGGATTATTCAATATGAATTTGTAACAACTGGACAAACAGTTAACCAAGCTTACTATTTGGAAGGGCTAAAAAGACTGCATGAAAAAGTTAGACAACCTGAGCTTTTTGCCTACTATTCATG